CTTCCGATTGCCAGGATACTCTTGACAAAAGACGGTCTGGCACCAAGAGGCAAGACCATTATTTTCATTTAAACCATACATGTCATGTCCTGTTTGTGAGAAACACATTAAACAATTCAGAAACACATTCACAATGGGCTCTGGAGTGGGATTCGCATTCCTATGAGCCTGCATACTGTAAACTGGAGGTGGGGAGGGAAGCCAGTGAGGAGGGTGGGATGGCGCCTCTGCCCTTGTTTTCACAGAGAGCTCCTCCCCAGAAGCTCAGCTGTAAATAGAGACCATCACATCCTTGTTTGATGTGAGTCTTAAAGTCTTCCTGTGGCCAAAAGCATGATGCCCAAAGTATGATAAGCTTCGTTATTCATGGCAGTCCAGTAACTTGAATTCCTTTAAGATACTCTGTTACCAATTTTTATTTTAATTTAAAAAAGGAAAACAATTCCACTAAGGAATCATCCAAAAGGAAGTCAACTGCCTCATTTCCACCTAAATTGCCACAGCAGATGATCCATCTGCCATGACTAAAAGGCATCTTGAAGGTGTAAACCACACCAATATGACTGAAATCCGTGATGCGGAGCCACCCTGTCACAAGAACATCTCAGATGGAAATGCACACACCTATAACACACAAGATGAGAAATTCTTCATTAACTGATGAAAGGAATAAATAATAAACATTGAGAAAATCACATTCAGTCAAGTGTAATTTGATTTACAACACCGGTCACTTATCAAACATACAGTAATCACATGCAAACTTAAAAGAAAAGTACATTCTAATATATTAAAATTAGAACCCAAATCTAGGCCTTTGGCCAAGTCAAATAATAAACAGTATGATAACTATGTCTGCTTTCTTGCTGTGACATTTCTTTGGTGGGGGGAAGATTTATCATTTAAACCACACATATCACATCCGGTGGAAGATTTTGAAAAATTGAACTATTTCCTCTGAATGCTTAAAGGCAGATTAACTATAAATAAAAACAGAATTAAACAGAATAAAAGTACTGTAGAGCCCGTTAAAACATTAAAAGAAACTATATAGTTTATTAGAACAAAGGTGGAATAGCAGATTACTTAAAGCCAGAACAATACACACCTGCAAGGATTTGTCAGTGATATAACAGCAAATGCTAGAATGTCTTATTTTGCTTCCCATGGGACTGATACTTTCTTTGTTGAAGTATACAAAAGTTCTGCAGTAATTAAAATTTTACTTTGGCTTTACATAAAAAGGTGTCCCTGGCCTCTTAAATGTAACTGGTGAATAATAGTATATTTGGCCATCGACCTCCAGGCTACCACAGTCCATTCTTTCCTCTCTGGCCTCTCTCTGTGAAAGTAGGGATGGACATCAGGTCTCTAAGAAAGATGGGGCTCAAGCTCTTCAGTACCACTAAAAAGAACTTCATCTTTGCCTTTACTACAAATACAAGAGGATGCCTGTCACGAACAGAACTGGTTCTCTTGATATCAGTAATCACCATTAAAATGAAACTCAGGCCTGTGGTTGGTTAAGACACCCAAGTTTTGTGTCTTTAGACATCAGCCAGGCAGCAGGCTTGGTGGGGCCCACCAATGTTCCAGTGATGTGAAGGAACATCTCTCTTGTTTGAGTGATCAATCTGCTGAGGCATATTCCACCCAGAGAAGGGTTTGAAAAAGAGAAAGACCAAACAACAAACTATAGATAAGGAAGAATTTTGTGACTCATCCAATGCGGAACAGAACGTCATTCATTCTTCAACTAATTCATTCAATCGACACTGTTCTGAGCACCAGAGACATATCAGAGCATGAGATATAGCCTTGGCCTCCCAGAGCTTTCATTCTATAAAGGAGACTACAGACAATGAAAAAATAAACAAAACACACATATATACATACACACATATACACATATGCGTATACAGACACATATACATATGTCTCTGTGTATTTATACATACACATACCATATAATGCATATATACACAATGTGATACACACACACACACATAGTAGTGGTGGTATATGTTAAAAAGAAAAACATCTAAACTCAAGAGAAATGAAAACATATAACCACATAAAAAACTTGCACATGAATGTTCATAGCAGCATTATCCATAATAGCTAGAGAGTGGAAAAAATCCAAATGCCCATCACTGATGAATGAATAAACAAAATGTGATGCATCTATTTAATAGAGTATGATTTGGCAATAAAAAGAAATGAAGCATTATGCAGAAATGCTACAATATGCAGAAATTTTGAAAACATTATGCTATATGAGAGAAGCCAAACACAAAAGGCCACATATTGTATGATTCCATTTATATGGAATGCCCAGAATGAGAGAACCATATAGATAGAAAGTAAATTACTAGTTGCCAGAGACCAAGGAAAAGGGATAAATAGGAGTGTATTTTAGGCTCACTGCAACCTCCGCCTCCCAGGTTCCAGCAATTCTCTGCTTCAGTCTCCTGAGTAGCTGCGATTACAGGTGCCTGCCACCATGCCCAGCTAATTTTTTTGTATTTTTAGTGGAGATGGGGTTTTACTATCTTGATCAGGCTGATGTTGAACTCCTAACCTCATGATCCAACCGCCTCAGCCTCCCAAAGTGCTGGGATTACAGATGTGAGCTACCACACCTGGTCGAGAGTGACTGTTTAATGAATATGAGGATTTTTTTTAGAGGGCAGGGGGCTTCTAGAATTAGATAGAGGTGACAGGTTGCAATACAAAATAAATGTACCAATAATCACTGAATTGTATACTTTATATTGGTTAAAATGGTGAATTTTATTTCAATTTTATAAATGTTAAAAAAGAAAAAAAAATAGAGAAGGTGCAAGGAGAGAGAGGGAAAGGGAAGACACTTTTTAGCTAATGTGGTCAGAAAGCGCCTTGGATAAACTGACAGTGAGGCAGAGATCAGAATGTAACGAGGTTATGAGCCAGAAAGATACCTACATCTTTGTTCTCTGCCATTTCTGCCTTTGTCTCTCTCTTTCTTCTGCTCCCTGTATCATTTTTTAAAATTATGACAAAGAGATGTAACACACAATTTGTCACTAACAATTTTTAAATGTGCAATTCAGTGGCATCAATCACATTCACAGTGTTGTACAACCATCACTATTATCTATTCTAAAACTTTTTCATCACCTCCATTAGAAAACTGCTATTCTTCTTTTAATGCTGCTGTCAGACCATTAGTACAAAACAAAACAAAACAAAAACCATGACAAATAACTAACAAGAGAAAAGGTGAGCTGGGAGCATACTTCCATCACTGTTCAGTAAAGGGTAAATGATGACAACGGTTATAATTGTTTCGTATAGGCTACTCAGCCTCCTTGTTGGAAAGAGAGAAAGCTAGGCAGGGTGGAAAGATAAATATCTGGCAAGCTCAGCTTTTTGATGAGAAGGTCCTTCCTTCACCATGAAACACTTGATTTTCAATGATTTGCTGACACATCAATTGTGGACCCTCATCTCTGAAGTGGCTGGGTACCTCTTCACATCCCATGTGTTCAGTTCTATGGAACAGACAACCATCCAACCAAATCTAGGTCTACAAACTCCCAGCCTCTCATTCCCCTGCTTCCCAAATGGTACATAAACTCAAAAAATAGAACTGAACTATTTTTCTACAACTTGACATTAAACCTAAATAATTTACAGAAAGAGAAGTAATTTTTTCCCCTGAAACTTGTGACATATAAATATATATATATATACATATACATGCATACACATACAGACACACATGCCATGACTAAACCTCTATTTCAAAAAGGATACATATGCTACTTAAAGATAAAAACGTAAAGATGGCTAACATTTTATTAGTGTGAACTAATAAAAGTTGGTTCCTATTAAACATAGTATTCTCAGCTTTATTTTCTCATAATGTCATTCTTACTCTGGGCTATAACCCTGTTTATATATTACATGTCTTTATTACATGTAAGAAGGAATTTAAATTTACAATTCTGGCAGGAGAAATGGATATATATTAACTCTAAAATATAAGCTCTTATTCCGCATACTTAAAAGTACTTAAAACACTAGTAATAGTAAGCTGCCACGAGGCAGTGTGGGATCTAAATGACTCAGCAAAAATATCTGAAGGAGGCTCTAATGCCTATCACAGAAGCACATTGCTGCTCACAATGAAATGGAAGATAGGTATCACAGCCCTCTGAGAAGCACCCAAGTGCTAGCAGTAGGTGTGTCCTATTTAAAGTGCTCTGATTTACAAAGTCAGAAGGAACATTTTGATTCAAAATACAAGTCTCTATACTGTAGAGCAGGACAAAAAACTCTGCAACACATATAGGCTGAAAATAGCAGAAATGTAATTCCTAGGTGATCCTCCTACAGCAGGCACATCACACAGCTGACAGGATAGACAGGGTCTGTGCCAGCCTCAACACCAAACTCTGTTTTAGAGCTGGGCAGCTGCATTCTGTTTTCCTTGCATGCTAGGTCTCTGTTCTCAATCTGCTCACTTGCAGAGGTCGCACACTGCCAGCCTCCCCTTGGCCATTCTGCCCCCTCTGCTCAGCCCCAGATGTCCTCCTGACCCCAGTACTCTATCCCTGCTTTTGCAAAGAACTGACCTGGCTCCTCTTACAGCTCCAGTGCACCCTTAGCATCTTCCCATTTTGCATCCAGTAATTCTATTATTTGGACATGGCCATGTACTTCTCCCAGCAAGCCCTCGAACACTTACCCCTCACCAGCAGCCTCAGGCTCTCATACTCCATCTCTTCTGATTGTCCCTAGTCCAGAGGGAGAGACATATAGCTCTTTTGGTGTTGCTTCCTGGGCTGCTGGGGGAGGCTACTGGTCTTCCTGGATGGGGACTCACAGTGCTTACCACCATGGGGAAACTGCCTACAAAACCATTTCTTTTTATTTTTTTCCCTTTCTTCTTCCCTTCCACCCACCCCTTCCCTCACCCCCTTGCAGTTATTCTAAACTGTTTTAGAACACCTTCATTCCTGCAGGGCTTCAACGGCAGTGTGACCAAGTCTCAAAGTGAAGGGGCTGCTAAAGCTGTCTTCGTGGTTGTCTGTGCCACAGGGGCAGGGGTGTAGGATGACCTTAAGTCTCCAGGCTCCCTACCAGCCAGCCTGGCCAGGCTGCTCCTAATGAATAACAAATGGGCCTTCATGATGCATTTGCTCAGGACAAGCTGCCATTACAAGCCTCTGTTTTCTTTAGCATATGGTAATGTATCATCTTGCTTGGCTGGATGTCATCTTGAGAAGGTCACCAAAGGTATGTGCGCCTTTGCCTGAGACTCTCCTCCTACCCACCCACACCCCCAACACCACCCCTTCTTTAAAGGAACAAAGTACTTGACACCCTTGTTTGGACCTATGGAGACAGAACATCCAGGTCTCTGCTTTTGGCCTTGCTAGTCAGCTATAAACACTCCCCATTTTGTCAGATGGAAGATCTTTAGTACAGACAGAAAACAAACCAGGGGGATGACACTGCTTTTGAAATTGATTTTGAGGGGGAAAATGCCCTCTGTCCTAAACTAAAAACGCAGATCTCAATTCAGAGAGTAGAAAAGGGTTTTGTTTTCTTCCCCCCCCCCCCGCCAAGCCGCTTACTATTCATCTTCATTTCACAGATATTTAAAGCATGTATTATGTTGCTATGGACAATTAGCCTTTTATCCAATTTTACTTGAGAGTTTAACTCTCCCACCCGAAGGTTTTAATTATACCCTCAGTCCCATACTTAGGCCTGGGTTCCTGCAGCTGGAAATCTGCCCCAGTGATGTTATAACCTTGTTAATGTAACAAAAGAGGAGTTTACTTAAAACTGGACTGACTATGGATTTAAGCCAAATTTACTTGAAAGAGGAAAGAGTCTGTCAAAAATCCTATAGTAAACACAGCAAAGCAGTTCTTTCATAGCCTTCCCTTAATTCATAGCGACAAGCAATTTACATGTAAGTGGATTCATATGCTCTACCAAGAGGCCACCTCTCCAAGCTGGGGTGGTGTGTACCCCCCGCCCCAATCCACCTCCCTTTTTTCTTTTCTATCCTCCCTCTTAGTGTTTTTTTTTTTTCTGTTTTGGTATGTGGCATAGGCCATTCTCCTTGGTGAAACAGCATAAATCCACAATGTTTTGATCACCCCAAAGCATAATTAGGCCTTCTAAACATTTACCAAGCCAGTCACTCTGAATAAAGGCAGCTGAATTTTCAGAAAGCCACTCTCAGACCTGACTGTTGTCCCGTCAACGACACACTTTATTTTCTGTAAAGCCTGCTTACAAAGCTCGAAAAACTCCCCTGCTAATGAGGTAAGAATTTTGAGCTTTGAGTAGGAATTGCTGATCAAATACCACAGCCCACGTTTTTCTCTGTTGCCAAAATCCTGTGGGCTTCTTACCTTCTGTTAATTAGATTACCTTTTTTAGTCTACACACTAACAAAAAGCATACATGAGACTAAACACAATGTGACAGCAAGGAAGGGACTGAAGAGAGAGCCTTCTGAGAAGACATTAAAGAAAAATAGCACTCTTTTTTTTTTTTTTGAGACAGAGTTTTGCTCTTATTACCCAGGCTGGAGTGCAGTGGCACGATCTTGGCTCACCGCAACCTCCACCTCCTGGGTTCAGGCAATTCTCCTGCCTCAGCCTCCTGAGGAGCTGGTATTACAGGCATGCGCCACCGTGCCCAGCTAATTTTTTGTATTTTTAGTAGAGATGGGGTTTCACCATGTTTACCAGGATGGTCTCAATCTCTTGACCTCGTGATCCACCCGCCTCGGCCTCCCAAAGTGCTGGGATTACAGGCGTGAGCCACCGCACCCGGCAGCACTCTTAATATTGCCGGATAAAACGCGGGGAAAGAGACCTCACAGGTAATTTTAGTCTGCAAGGGGGGAAATCCCTGACATTTTAGAAGCAAAAACCAAAAAATTAATTTCCCCCAAGTAGAAAAATAGGGGCTTGCTGCAGCTACGCTATTTTCCACTGTGCTCTTTGACAAAATCCATCCATAGCAAACAACTGGCCAGCACTCAAGTTTCTTTCATGCATTTTGAAAGTTTAATTAGTTCTAACTAGATCAAAAGTTGTTTCCCCCACTTTTGGCATGTATCTGTATCATTTCTGTGCTATTTGGAAGCAGCTAGACATCAAAGGCAGATCCATCATTCTTGAGGAACCTCCATTTCTCAGAGGAGATTCAAATCTACCTCACCTTCCTTACTGTGGACCTCATGGAAGCCAGGGCAGCTGGTTGCACCCCGAGATTTGCACAAAGCTCATCCTCACTCCTCCTGAAGAGCACCTGGTACCAAGTAGCAGAAATGCTCCAGAGAATGCCCCTAGATAACCCCAAACCAACCATAACATGTGGTAATATGGCAAATCCTCCAAAACAGAGAACCTGTAAAAAATATTCTAAGATGGAAGAAGTTCAGAACTTAGCATCACTTAAGTCTTTTGTAGCCCATTATATAGGGACCTGTTTTAATTACTCTAAAGTTATCCTATGTTTTTTTTTTCCACTTCTCTCTCTCTTTTTTCCCTTTTGCTATTCATTCTAAGGTCTTTTGTTCTAAGCTTTGAACTAGATTAGCAAATTACTAGGCAAATCAACTACCCACCCAGAGCCTTCTAGTTAGGAGAGCTTAGAGGTTATAAAAGTCCCAGGTCTTGTTGGTAGAAGGCCAAGGTTTGTGTCTCTGCCCTCCTTCACATTAGCTGTGTGCCTTAGACAAGTTTATCTAGCCTCTCTGTGCCTCAGTGCCCTTTTCTGTAACTTGGGGAACATACTCTCTCTTTCATCAGGTTGTTCCAAAGAATAAGATGTAAAGCACTGAGCCCTGTACTGTGTTTTACAGGCCACATACGCCTATAGGACATGCTCAGCAAGCATAAAACATTACTCTAATCAAAGTAACCACTTCTACTTCTAGAGGACAGAGTTGCAATGTTTCCTGGTATGGTCTTTTAACTACAAAAATGAGGTTGTTTTAAGCTCCAATTTTTGATTACATGCTATGTGCTAAGAACTAACCTAGAAGCTATTTATATAATACACACAAACACAAACATGCATATATTTATATATATGTATATATACTTTTTTTTGGTCAGAGTGGCAAGCTCTATGGGCTCCACATTCTAGTTGCTTCTTCATCTATGCAGGGTCCTTGGCATCTGAAAGAAGTCATATGACCCACTTCAGGCTAATGACATAGCAAAGGTCTGTGGAAGGGGGTGTCCCTTCTTAAATATAGAAAGATGTCTTTTCCTACAGGTAACGTTATTTGGCATTTATACTTCTTCCTGTTGGGACACAGATGTGATGGCTAGAACTATGGCAGAAATTTTGCAACATGAAGACAAGAGCTGGCTATAACAAAGGATAAACTAGGATGGCCTAGTTTATCCCAGATTGCCTGTCTCCAGACTTATTGTTATGTGAGAAAACATATTTTCTATTTGTTGGGTTTTCTATTAGAGCAAGCAAGCACATTCTTAGCTGAATACCTACCCTGATTTATCTTTGGCTTAGAAGAAGCTACAGAGAAAAGAGGGTTTCTGGACACTTTGCAGATTTACTTGGACCTATTTAAGAAATAATTGGAGGTCAACTTGAGATGTCAAATTCTGCTGCCCAAACCTGTCATACTTCCCCTTCTAGCAGACCCACCACATGCTGCAGGATCACACATCACAATTACTGAATTATGGTTTTATCACTGTCTGCAATATTTTGACTTCCCTTGGGTTCCAAAATATTATGTTTTAAAATCTCCTTACTTGCCCTTGGTTGGATTCCAAAAAGAAAAGGCATTACTGGAGAGCCTGTGCCTTCCTAGGAAGCACTGACAAGTGGACATCTTAAAGCGAGCACATTAATGGGTGTCCTTTAAACCCTCCACTTCCCATATTCCCATTAGAGCCTCCTTAATTTGGCACCCCAGGATTCACTTAAATTACCTTCTTAGTTGGGATTAGGGGAGCAAAAGGAGACCACAGGGCCCTGACCCTGACAGTTCAAACTGTCAGCGCCAGGAGACTGACACACTTTTCTCCTCGCTAATCCCGCACTGCATGGCATGGTCTCAATTTTGGAGAAATCTGAACGCTTATACACTTAGCCAATCCTCAAGTGATTCAGATAGACTCAGTACTGAGTAAGTGAGGCACTTATGTATCTTGAATATCTCTGCTTGCTCGATGCCAGAGCCTCAATATTTTGATAAAGCGATGACAGGATAAACACAGAGAACAAAAAGCAAAGGCAAAGAAAATACTATAAGTACATGGAAAAACTATGAGCTGCTAGAATTTATTTCATATGTTAGAGGGGGAATATAGTTCCCTAATGCAATTTTCAAAATGCAGATCTTAGAGGCCAGATAGATTTTCCTTCCTTTTTCAAGGAAACTGAAGCAGAATTGGGCTCAGAAAATTCAAATCAAGAGCCAATTTCTAAAAGCCACTTTGAATTGTTCCTCAAGAATGTGCCAAAAAGCACACCAAAAAGAACTTTAAAAACCCTCTCTGTCTGTAGCAGCATTGTCAAATAGAAACACAACACAAATCAGATTTTCTAGTAGCCACATCAAAAAAAAGTAAAAAGAAACAGGTGACATTAATATTAATAATATTTTTATTCTACCCAAAGTATTAAATATGTAATCAATACATAAATTATTACTGAGATGTTTTATATTTTTTTCACACTAAGATTTGAAATAATGTGTGTGTTTTACACTCACAGTACATCTCAATTGTATTAGCCATATCTCAAAAGCTCAGTAGCCACATATGGCTAACGGCTATGGTACTGGACAGCACTGGTCTATAGTACCTATCCTCTCTGTAACACACACATACACACTCAGAGTCAATAGCATAAAGGCTGTCATTACAGCAGGATGATATGTAGCTTTTTTGACCCATCCTACTCACCCCATATACTCAGTAGAGTGCAAGATATATATATATATATCTCCTATTATATATATGTAATATATATACTAAATATATATTGCAGGAGATATATATACATGCACATACATGTATGTGCATGTATATATATCTCCTGCAACATATATGTATATACACACATATACATATATGTATATGTATATATATCTTCTGCAATATATATATAGTATATATATTACATATATATAATAGCTTAATCCAGATAAAGATTTTATTCACCATTTTTGACTTTAAAATGCCAATTTCATATGGTTAAATTAATATTTTAACCCAAAGATTTCA